GTTGGAGAGTAACGCATCTATTGGTGGGCACGTGTCGTACATATCCGGGCATACAATCAAAATTACCCGGTGTTTGACACTCTTTAGTACAAATAGGATCGGGTGTATCGCAAGTGCGCTCACATTTCTTTGTACTGCATTCATACCATTTCTCGTAATTATGTTTCCTTATACAAAAACCTATCGACAATACAACGATCAAATAACACTGACGCGAGAGTTAGTGTAATTATAAATTAAATTTTATACCAGGGCAATCTCCCAACGGAATACATTTTCCACCCAATTTATCAAGTACATATCCCTGTCGGCATACACCGTAACATTGAACAGTGCAATTATCCGCTGGGGTAGATTTTTGGGGGTAGAGATTGTCACAAGTAGGTGGAGAGGGTGGAGGGCACCCACATTCCGTGCCCCTTGGACATTGAAGTGATGCACACTCTACACAAACAATTAATAATTATTATATAATTTAAAATGACCAAGTTTATCTTACCAGGTGATAAAGTAGTTGTTGTGGTTGTTGTTAATTCTAAATAAAATAATTATCTTAAATATATTTTTATAAGAGTTTTGCCGTATAATTCACTTACGGTGACAAAGAGATTTATTTATACATCTATAGTTATCATCCAAAACGTGGTCGTCATCGCAAATACAGCTCAGTTTACAAGAAGGATACAAAGGTAAATCAGGTCTACAATAGCCTTTGCTGGCACAGGTTCTAGGACATTTTGGTATGCAACCGCATTTATACCCCGGCTTACATTTGATCAATTGACAACCTTTATGTTTAAATTAGTAAACAATTAATATATTGCATATTTTTACATTAAAATTTTTTAAATATTTATACCTTTTGGTGGATTTGGTTTAAGAGTTGTGGACAATGTATACTTTGTAGTGGTTATTGGGGTTGTTTTATTTTCTGCATATATGTGAACAAAAAGCTCTATAAATATTAAACAGGAGAAAATAGTTAAATTCATGTTATAAATTGCAACTAATACACTTATAATTTAGGAGCTTATAAACTTATAATTTATAGTAAAACCGAGGCTTAATTATTGATGAATGAATATTTAAATGCTTACTTATCAAAGTTTTATACTATATAATATTTATGCTTGCTAAAAGTTTGTTATTAATTTAATTGTAAAAATTCAGTAAATTTGTTAATATAAAAGACACCATTTTATTGATAATACGTGAAAATTTCAATAACTTGTGATCTATGTTTTGATTAGGGAATAAAGTTTTCCTTTAATTTCACAATTATGTATTTTGTTTAATAATATATTATTATAAAATTGTGTGTTTGAGTAAATTTTAAAGTAAAACAATTTTTGAAATTAAATATAGTATTTATTTTATTGTTGTATTTTTTTGTGAATAACTATTTTCGTTTAAATATCACATATATTTTTAATTTCTTAAATTAAATCATGGAATTTTAATGTAATTTGAATTAAAAACTACACTTGAAACTTATTTAAACGTTCTCTATTTTGTAGTTTAAATTTAAAATATTATATACGGTATTATATAATATATAACTTACTTTAGGTATAATAAATTGTATAAGATATTTATTCATTGTTATTGAATTTGTTATGAACTCTATAGCAAGTATTTTTAAAACGATATATTCTGTTTAGTTATTTATTAAGCTGTTCATACAACTAGTAATTCTATACATTCATAAGTTTGCAAAATTATCTGAATTGTGTAAAATTAAATTTTATTTTTTAAATAAATTATTTCAAAAATATAGTTCATAAAAATTCCTTAACTTTTATAAGTGTTTTTGATATTTTAATATTAATTATATTAATTAAATATTAATTCTTATTTGATCATAATATAAATTGATTTACAGAAAAACACCAAATGTCACAACATTATCATGATAAACGATTTTATTGTTTTACACTCACATATTTTTACTTAATGTGTAATATTAGTTTATAAAAATGATTATAAAATAATAGTTTGTTCAAAAAATAAGTTTGAAAATTTTTATAGAAACTTATCATTTTAAATAAATGTCACAACAATTCTACCATAATCTAATGTCACAGTAAGTTAGAGTTTCAAGAGCTTCATTCGCTAAGTTTCATGACTTCCTTTCTTTTTGCCGCCTCCATGTTTAGCCCCGCCATGTGCTCCGCCCCCCTGTCCGCTGCCCCCGTGTCCACCACTTTTGCTCCCTTTACCACGACTTTTGACTCCTATCAGCAAAATATTGGTTTTTTATTTTAATTGATGTAAATATTTAACGATTCATCAAAACAAAAACAATTACCTTCGCACTGATCGGTCACCAGAAGCAACACAACCATCGCTAACATAAAGATTATAAATAATTGCCGATTCATCGATGATTTAAACGAATATAACAATTTTATTTTATTTAATTGTTCACTATTTATATAAAATTTTAAATTTTAAACACCAATTAAATACTTCATAAAAGCACTTTAATCTCCAATTTAAACTAATTGATTGCATATAACTTTTAGCCTGTTTTTATATTAAAGAATTTGCTCAAAAAATGTTTTTCTCAATGCTTTTGAAAGTTAACGTAATGTAAAAAATATTGTAAAACAATATATTGTTTGCTCAGTATTTTGTGCCAAAAGTCACGGAATTACTTAATTAATAAAATTTTAATGAATAAATCATAAGTTTTGCTTTAAAGCACTTATAAACCAATTAACATAGGAATCAAACAAACATTTTACGTAAGTCTTGTATTATTTGTAATAAAATAATATTAAATTTTTATAATAAACTTCTTTTTATTAAAAATACAGAATTTGCATAAAATTATTGTTATTGTAATGAATGGCAATATTTAGTAATTAGTAATATATACACAATTTATAATCACATTAATCATCAAAATTATTAATAAAATTAAATAAAAAATCAAATGAAAACCCAAATGAAATATAGCGTCGATTGAAATAATGGATTCATTTATTCAATTTATGGACAGTTTTTGAGGCCATTTCCTGAATCCTTCGTTCAATCTCTTCGTCTCTTTTCAATTGTTTTCTCATTTTATCGGAAAGTTTATAGTCTTTACGTCCGTCTCCTCTGTCCCTCTGTTTCTCAAATCCGGGTATTTTTGGCGACAATTTGGGCGCAGATTTCACGCTCTTCTTCACCACAAATGAAATCTTCTTAGAAGAGGACGTCTTCTCGCGTGACTTCTTCTTCGCTTTAGTCTTATGTTTGCGTTTCTTTCGATGCCTTCGTCTTCGTCTGCGGTCATCACTAGAGGACGAAGTGGTCGATAGAGTGGACGTCGACGACGACGAGGCCGTAGACGACGACGAAGACGAGTCAGAATCGGAAGACGTCGACGAAGAGGAAGAGCGACGGCTCTTACGACTCCTCTTTGCCTCCCTTTCCTTCTCTTCAACCACTTCTCCCTCTTCTCTGTCTTCTTCTTCGGGTTCTTTGCGTTTGTCTTTCATTTGCAGACATTTGTTGAACAGAAGTGTTGAGAAAGTCTTGTCTCTCAAAGCGAATGAATTGCGAAATTGCGGCAAATTTTTAACGTAATTATTGAACGAAATGTTTGAGAAGCGGTTCAACGACTGGTAATTGAAGTCAGTTTTGGCCACAAATTGACACTTCAGTCGTTTGTCGGGCGACACGTCTGTGACGGCGACGACCACCACATCCTTGGGGTCGAGACCTGTGGGCCCAGCCGTGCGGTCGTCGACCAAAGCGTTCACTTTGAGGTCATAGAGGAGTCGGTCATCGGTGCGAATGAGCCGCGCGTTGACCACCGCTGCGGACGAATCGCCGCAACGCGACACCACTTCCGCCACCACTCGGTCGCCGACTCTGACGGTCGCCCAGAAGTGTCGGTCGCGACACTCGGTTGGCGGGAATGTGAACGCCTCGAGCGGTGGCGCGCCCTCACCTCCCAAAGGGCTAACCCTCGCAGTCGTTAAGTGTCTTCTTTGCTCGCATGACGTGAGCACTGGTTTAAGACGTCTTCGGATTGAACTGCAAAGACAATCAATGGTAACAATTAGTGACACAATTGGCGGCCAATTGTTTGTATTGTTTACTCTATTCCTGACGTTTCCATCACTGCTCTCAACATCAATGACGACAACCATTGAAATCAATTATGTTTTGTTCATATTATGTAAGTTTGTATTCAAATAGGAGACCACCCCTGAGAGGGCCCCCTCTCTCCCCTCTCTCCCTCCCCAACCCATTAGCCACCTGTGGAACAGTGGCCATTAGTCACCTGTGTAATGATGATGACAATTGCTAGATGATGTGCCATGGACCATGGTCAATTGTAGGAGTTATGCACTTGGTATAGTGATCTTAAATGACCTATGCAAAGCTTACTGAAGTCATCAAAACTTAATGTAAGAGTTTAACTAACTTTATTAACTTACTTTCATCATTAAAGTTTAATGTTATTTTCTCATAATTTTGTATTTAAGTAATATTATAAATTAATATTAATTAATGCAAAGTACTTAATACAATATTGATTTGTTATTTACATAGTTTTAGTGAATTAATTGATTGATTTTAATTGATTTTAATTATTTATAAACCAAAAAATATAACAAATGGTTACAAATTATTAATTAATGCAAAGTACTTAATACAATATTGATTTGTTATTTACATAGTTTTAGTGAATTAATTGATTGATTTTAATTGATTTTAATTATTTATAAACCAAAAAATATAACAAATGGTTACAAAGAATTATTGTTGATATTGAAGTGATCTAGATTGGATTGGATTGGATTGTATTAGATTATGTGTTGCGTTAATAACCCGTGTAATTGTTGAATGATGTGATTTTGACCATAATTGTTGAGTATATGTTTATTATTATTATTCAATGTCATTATATTATAGTTTTGTAGGTCTATGTCTGGGCTTAACCACTATTACGGGCGCCGGCGGCCACTCGTTGTCCACCAGTTTGGTCGCATCCACCCCTTGGAAGTGATACCTTGACCGCCGATGGGCTCCCGCTCTGA